TACCTTGCATTACATTTCCAACATTTGGGTAAATTATCATAATCCATTGACATGCTCGCTACTTTCAATATCATTTCAACAGGATCAACAGGATCTTTTCTATTAGTTTCAACTGGGAATATTAAAAAAACATAACATAACAAAAAACATGTTAAAATATACGAAAAGAGAGAGAGAGAGAGAGAGATGAAAAATCATGCAAAAGAAAATTAATGTCAAAAAATGTCGTTATGTTTATCTCAAACGGAAACATAATTATGTTTTCAAAAACCAATGTTCCTCTTCTTCTTCTTACAAGTGTGTGTGTGTGATAATACACAAGGTGACATTAAAAAAAAAAAATTCTTTTGGCAAATTATTTCGATAAATTAATAATAATAATAATATTGGTGGGCGATGTGTTTTTGTCATTGAATTGTTTGTAACTTGCCAAATGTTACGATTTTATAATAAATAAATTTTTGGCAAATGTTTTTTGCAAGAGGCGGGGAAGAGGAGGAGGAGGAGGAGGAGGACACACAATGGCCGAATTACGGTTAGTAACAATTTTTTTTTTTTTTTTTATAAATTCCAATCGATGCCCCAAGCGATTCAAACAATCACCGTTTTCAAATATTATTAGTTTAAATAAAAGCTATTAAATAAAAACATTTAAAAAAAAAAAACACGCGGTAACGGCAAACAAACAAACAACAAACAAACAAACAAACGGAGAAAACTCAATTTTTTTTATTTATTTTCAAGTACCTGATTTGACCATTGCAGTGAGCGCAAAGAGGAACTCTTGCAGCATTTGGAGCATTTAAAACTCCTTTTCCTCTTTTTGGAGACGTGGCTCCAGCAAAACTTCCACCTTTGGAAGCGCTCAAAGAAGATGGAGCGCCAGAAGAATAAGATGAAGATGCCATGGGAGGAGCGGTAACGCCACCTAAATATCCATTTATATCAGCCATATTATTCGGTACGAAAAAAAGGATAAACAAAAAAACAAAAAATGGCCGGCGGAAATATATTGGAAATAATTCCAAAGGTTTTTCAATTTGCTAAGCTTTCGGCAGCAGCGTGAGCGAGTGAGTGAGCGAGTGAATGAGAGAGAGAGAGAGAGAGAGAAAGAGCAAAAAAAAAAAAAAGCAAATACATTCGCCTATTGTTCATTATTCGTTTTGTTGCCTTTTAAATAACAAGCGTGACTGTAGCAAAAGTCTTTAAACAAAACAAAACCTAGCAAATTCTTGCAAATTTTTCGTCTGCTAATTTTCCACGCACGCACACACACACACCCAAACGCAATTTTTCTTTCGTGTTTGTAATTTAAAAAAAAAAAAAAATTTTTTTTCAAAGCAAAAACAAAAATTTTTAATTAAAAAAAAAAAAATGGCCCCCCAAAAAAAAAAAATAAAAATTTTTTTATTTGTTTAAATTTAAGTCTCAATAATTATTATTATGTTAAAAATTTGATATCGAATCGTCATTTTCGTCATGAATTTCCTACACAGTACCGAATCCAGAATTTTTATTTCCCTCCCTTACTTTAAGCGTATACATTAAAAGTTTAAAAAAAAATATTTCACGTCACCCCTTCCCTCCCCTACCCCCCACCCCGGAAAGCTTTCAACTTATTTCCTTATAGAATTCAAAATAAAAAATTTCATTTAATAATAATAATAATAATAATAATAATAATAATAATAATAATAATAATAAATGCGATGCGTATTACAATCGTAAAAATAAATAAACCTGAAATTTACTTATAAATAATAATAATAATAATAATAATAATTCTAATAATAATTTTAAACGTTAATTATTATTGAGACTTTAAAAAACTACATAAAAAGCACTAAATAAATAAATAAAAATGCTAAATTTGAGAGCTGCTTAAATTAATTAATTAAATTTTATTATTTATTAAAATTAATTAAGGACTGAGGAAAAAGGTCTCGGTTTCGAATTAAATGACTGATATTCTGAAAAAATTAGAAATTAAAAAAAAAAATAAAATTACTAAATGGTTTTTTGTTTTGAATTCAAAATAAATTATTTTAAATAAATACTATCAAACGATTGTTACTTTAAAAAAAAAAAAAATCAATAAAATCTAACGACTTACCGGAAACGGAAATGTTATTAAAAAAAAAAAAAAAAAAAAAAAAAAAAATGGACGTTTTAGTTGCCACACCAAAATAAAAATAAAAAAAAATTCAGTTAATCTAAACCTCTTACTACGTAAGTGGCAATACTAAACAAAAAGTAATAATAATAATAATAATAATATTTATGGAAATTTTGTTTGTTTGTTTTCGCGTTCGAAATTATTAATGTTGTTAATGGAAATGTATCACGTTTGGAAAATGAAATTTAAATTCGTTTATCATTATTATTATTTTTTTTTATCTCTCTTGAGTGTTTAAGCAGCTCTCAAGAAGTAGTCAAAAACAAAAAAAAATTTTAAACAACAAAACCCCGGAAAATTGTTTTTTTTTTTTTTTTTACCTCTTAACGTTGGATTTGGCTTACATCCAGTGAAAATTCCTTTAAAAAAAAAATAGAAAGCGAATTTTTTTTTTTTTTTTTGTTGAAAATCCCAAATTGTTTTTCATTTTAAAACTCGATTCGCGCCCACCGTTTGACATTATCATTATTATTATAAATAAATTATTTAAAATGTCGTTTAATGTCGTTACGTAAAAGTGACGTCAAATTTTTTTAATATTATTATTATCGTGTGAAATTTAACTGCGATAATTTATTAACGTTTGAAAATTTATATGAAAACTTACCGGATGTTGGACGAGCCAAAGATGTCGGTGCACTCGGTGTTGTTAAATTAATTTTGGGTGGCTGCACTGACGAAGGTGGCTATATGTAAAAAAAAAAAATATTAATATCAGGGAAACAGAAACGTAATTAAAATTTTACGTAATTAAATAAACTTGAAACAAACTTGAAATGGTGCAGCAATTGATGATGGTTGAGGTGATGCCGAACCTGTAGAAGAAACCGAAAATTGAGATGTAAAAGGTGGCGGCGGTACAGCTCCAATACTCGATGCAATAATTGATGCCGGAGTTTTCGTACCCCTAAAAAAAAAAAATTAAAATTAAATTAAATATTTTATTTTTATTTTTATCCTTTTTTAAATAAATAAATAAATATTTACGGTGGTACTAAAACCGGTTCTAAATTAACCGATGGCGGATTTTGTCTCGCTACCATTTTCGCATGTATATCGCAATATAATTTATTATTTATATTATAATACCCGACGTTTTTCAATGATGTTCCACACGTTGCACATTTGAAACAATCCACGTGTAAATTTTTATCTTTGATACGTACGAACAATCCTCTAAAAATCAAGAATAATAATAATAGTAATTAATTTTACATTCGAATAACTGCAACAATAAAAAAAAAAAAAATTACAATTAAATAAAAATAAAATTTTTCAATTAAATTCGAGTTTTATTATTATTATCATTTCATTACCGTTATTTTCAATACTATTAATATATAAAAAAAAAGAATATCACTCACGAGCGAGTTCACATGCAAAATTTGAAAAAAAATTTTTTTTTTTTTTGTAGCAAATGCGGAAATTTGCAAATTCGTAGCAAAAAATTTGCTTCGATTAATGACATTATTATTATTATTATTATTATTACGTTGAATCACGCCTAATAGTGTAATATGTGATAGTGGTTAATATGTCAAAAAATAAGGAATGAAAAAAAATTTAATTTAATTTTAAGAAGAAGAATAGATAGTAAGGTACGCACCATATGTTTAAATTGGAAAATAAAAATTTTTAAGGTATACAATATAGGTGCCACAAAGAATTCAAAAAAAAAACAAGAAGAAAAAATTAAAAATATTAAAAAACAAAAGTAGTAGAATTTTAATAATAATAATAATAGTAATAAGTTTATATATGCTAAAATTTCGAAATGTTTAAACGTAGGAGAAACATGCAAACAATGCAAAACTAGAATAGATTTTGAGAGATAGATTGATAGATAGATAGAGAGAGATAGAAAAGTAGAATGATAATCATGACAAGGAATATTCTAATAATCCTTACATTATACACCTTTCACATTCACTACACATTGGACTTTCGTAAGAAACGAACGGCAATGAAGAAGAAGAAGAAGAATATGGCACCGAATGTTTTTGGTGTGGGGGTGATCTAGTATAAGATGGTGGTGGTGGTGGTGCTACTGGACTAGGAGACACCGACCGGCCGCCAAGAGCATGGCTAGCGGTAGAATAATACGATAAAGAACTTGCTCTAGCTGCTAATTTAATCAAAATTTTTTAAAAAACAAAGAATTAATTTATGAAAAAAAAAAAAAAAAAAAATGGGATAAAAGTGTAAACTTTCTTTAAACAGGAGATTCGATATTGGTGTAACGATTTACTCTGTAAATATAAAAATTGCATTAAATAGTCGGTTTTAACCATTTCCACTTACACAATAAGACGTTCACAGTCTGCACAAATATTCTGTCCAGGTGGTAACACCTTTTGATCTTGTGCAGGCTGAGGTTTTGTTTCGGGTGCTGATACGTGTCTTAAACCGGCCACCCCTGACGGTTTAGGAGCTGTAGGTGTTGAGGGCATTTCTTCAACTGAAATTTAGTCTTAATTAATTTATCGTCGATCTCAATTTTTCGATAAGACAATAATTCATTTAAAAAAAAAAAACAACAACTCTTTTTCATCATTGAATAAAATTAATATTTTTCCTCCTCTTCTTCTTCTAAAAATGATTAAACTTTTTCGTTAATTAATAAAACAAACAACAAACAATAACTTAAAACATTTACGAATCGCTTCTTCCTGCATGAAAAACCCCAAAAAAAAAAAAAAAAAAATTATCATCATTGTCGAGGAAGTTTGTGATATATCAGCGGTTTAATTACTAATAAGATTTATCTAACAATGAAGAAATGTTTAAAAACAATTTTTTTTTTGTAACGTTAAAAAAAAAAAAAAAATTTTTTTTATTGTTACCTGGTTCCGCTTCTTTCGGTTCGCTATCTATTTCCTGAACCATTTTTAAAACTTCACTGTTGGCAGCATTGTAAGCTTTTTCGTTCTTCATAAAATTAACCCTACAAAAAATAAAAAAAAATTTATTTATTTATTTATTTATTTAAAGGAAATACCTTGTTTTATTACTTTTGCAATCGATCAAATATAAATAAAAAATTATTAGGTAATTATAAATTTTCAATAGGTTTTAACTTACCCAACGACTCCCCCGGCTAAAACTTCCGCTTGAGCACTCAAAGTTTCCGCAATTGTTTGATCCGAATACAATTTGATAGGACTGTTGTATTGTTTACTCGCCAAATTCTTTGCATTTTGAGTTTTGTCACCGATTCCGTTTGCTTGTGCACCGCCAAAAGGTTTCGGCGCATAGTTGTATTGACTAAAAGACGGAACAGGAGGTTGCGATTTATAAGCTAAAGACGTTTTAGTAACCGGTTGTACATTTCCAATCGAATTATTCGGTGTGGGTGTTGGTCCGATTGGAACCACCGAGGGTTTCCACGTCAAGCCTCCTCTGTAACAAAAAAATAATAATAATAATAACAACAACGATTTCCTTTATTACAAACAAACGAAAAAACTTATCGTTGCCTGTTTTTAACAACAAACCCCGGACATCACGAACAAGTTAAGATTAGATTGTTTAATTCAAACATTTAGATATTACACACACACACACACACACAGGTTTCTGGTTTTTCATTATTTAAGGTTTAATCAAACAACCATAAGATGCCTGAAATATTTTTGAAAAACTTTTATGTACATATCTTATCCCTTTTTTTTTTTTTTTTTTTAAAGTAAGATACATAATTAATTCGAACGTAATAATGAATAATTTAATAACAAAAAAAAAAAAAAAATTTCTAAACCTTTCTTTCTCTCTCTCTCTCTCTCACACACATTTAATTCTCAAATAGTTTTTCATACATTTATTTATTTACAACACGGTTTAATGAACTTTAAGTAATAATTTTTCAATAATAATAATAATAATAAAATAATGATGAATTCATCACATTTTTAAACGTCAAATTTCTTTTACAAAGTAAATATAACACCGATATAATTTTTTTTTTTTTTTTAAATTCATTTTAAATTTAACTTAGGATTATTATTATTATTATTATTATTATTATTACCATTTAAAAAAAAAAATGCTTATTCCACTTGTTCGAATTGCTGTTTGTTTAATAATAATAATAATAATAATCTCATTCTTAGATTTAATTTCGCTTTAGAATTATTTTTCTAGTAATTACAAACCGTGGATGATTTTTTTTTTTTCTCCACCGCCATGTTCTAAACCTGCTTTTTCTGCCGGTGAATTTGCATTTACCTGCAAAAATAAATAAATTTTAAAACAAATAGTAATAATATTTTTCCTTGGGGATTAAGCGGGGGAGGAGAGGAAGGGAGGGAATATCATTAGGTATAAGGTTTTGAGGGAATTTTAAATTTTTATGGAAAGAAATTAAATTTTTTTTTTTTTTAAAGGTAATGAAAATATTAAACAACAAAAGAAACGTTTTTATACTTATTGACCTCTAAAAAAAAATTCAAAAATAAACTCTCTATTTTAAAAAAAAAGTGCAATGAAAAATGTTTTTAGCTTTTTACATCATAAAGTCACGTCGCTCTTTAAAAAAAAAAAAAAAATTTTTCTAGAACTTTTTCGATAAGCAGAAAACAAAAACAAAATTTTTTTACAACCAAATATTGCTCTCTACTACCTATTTTGAATGAAAAGAAAAAATTTAAACGACAAAACTTTTTAAAACACGTTAAAAATTTCATACGAAAACGTTCCATAATAATAATAATAATAATAATAATAATAATAATAATAAGTTTTTTCAAAAGTGTCAATACAAATAAAAGAATGTCAATGGTATTGATGATGATGATGATGATGATTGTTTGCTAATTTCTTTGAAATTTAAAATGGTGTTATTATTATCATCATTATTCAAAGGTAAAATAATGGATTTTGACGTTTATTAACGTTTTTATATTTCTGGAGAAAAAAAATTCTTTGGAATAGGCTTAATTTTTTTTTTGGTCAAAAATGTGTGATTCATCGAACTATATTTGATGTTTCTTCGTCATCAACATAATAATAATAATAATAATAAATGCTAAAAATTTAAATCGATACTCCATCGATTTTCTATAAAATTCCGGCCCCAAACATTTTATTAAATTATTTATTGTTTAATTAATTTTTAATAAATCGAATTTTTTTTTTTTTTTTTGTTGTTATTCGACTAAAGTTAAAAAAAAAAAAAAAAAAAAAAATTGCATTGTAAGCGTCAAATTCTAAAGAATTAGCGCTTATTTAATTACTTTTTTGTTTAACGCTTACCTTTTACTCTTACTAACCTTCAAAAAAAAAACCAAAAAATTAAAAAGTAAATTTTAATTTCTAAATCGACAGTTAAAAAAAACTTATTATTATTATTATTATGTTCTTAAACAAAGACTTGAACAATTTGATATTGATTAAGAGAAAACGTGTCAATAGAATATTGAAAATTCTCTATAGAGAATTAACTCTTCTACAAAAACAATTAATTACATGATTTATTACCTAACGAACTTATTAAAATTTTCGTTTAAAAAATTATTATTATTATTATTAGAAAGGGTATTTTAATAATGATTCAGGTACGTATACATAAACCTTATCATCATCAATACCTTAACAATAAATAAATAAATATTATTATGATTGTAGCTACGTCACATTTTTTTTTTTTTTTTTGCATAAAAACTCAATGATTTATATATTGAGTTTTTACTTCCCACTTATTATTATTATTATTATTCGAAATGTCAAAAAGAATTGTGAAGGTTGTTGACTAATAATAATAAGTAATTAATAAAAAAAAAAAAAAAAAAAAAAAACAATTCAATTAGTTTTATGTACCTTTTGTACGATGAGAGGTTGTCCAAAATCTTTACCACCTTGTAACCGGAAACCCCAGGGTGAAGCATCGAAACGAGATAGCCTAACTGTGATTAGTTGTGCCATTTGTGGCTTCTGAAATAAAAAAACGTCATTAATTAGTTCAGAAATTATTATTATTATTATTACAAAAATTTTCTTCTGGTATTTTTTTTTTTTTTAAATAAGAAAACAAATTTTTGTGACGACATTATAATTTTTTGCCTATTGTTTTTTTTCAAAGTACCTGATACCTGACTAAGCAAATATTTTCAAGGATGTAAAAAAAAAAACATTATTATTTAATTGAAACCGCTTTCATCAATCATGCTTATGATGATGACAAATAATTTTTTTTTATCGTTTTAATTAAATTATTAATTAGTAATTAAGAATAAGATTTTTAAAATAATAATAATAATAATAATTTTTACAAAGTATCGATTCCACGATTTAAAAATAAAAAAAAAAATTACATTTTTGTTAATTATAATGAAATGATAGTTAAATAACTAAATTGCATTCGCCTAAGTAATTTATTATTATTATTATTACTTTTCTAAATTAAAAAAAATTCGATATTGATGATGATGATGATGATGATGTATGCGACGATGATTGGGAGATGACAGGTGAATGTTATTTTACTTTTAAAATTAAAAAAAAAAAAAAATTGATTTAAATCCCTTTCTATAATTACAAATCGGCGAATTTGCTTTTCCTTTTTCTTTTTTTTTTTTTTTTTACCGGATATTTAATATCTTAAATCAACAACAAATTTTATTATGGCAATTGTGAAATCCAATTGATTTAATAACAAATTTCAATCTCGAATTTCATTTAAATACACACATAATAATAATAATTATTATTATTATTCAATAAGGAAATTTTATTTTTTTTGCACCCGAGAAAAAAAATTATTTTTACCGCCGTTTCCCCGCCCCCGCCCCCCACCCCACCCCCTCTCCAAACGTTATATTTAATGTTTTATTTATTTTCCCTCTCTCTCTCTCTCTCTCTCTATGAAAATCGTCCCGGATAAATTTTTTTCGGTTATTTATAAATATTATCAAGAAGCTAAATAGAAAATATGACTTCCACATACACACACACCGGAGAGCTATTTAGCGATAGTGCCCATCCCAAAAAAAAAAAAAAAAATTAGTGCCAAAATTTAAAATTATACCACACGCACACACACACACACACACACACACGCACACGCACATCTCCCAAGTTATTTAATTTAATTTAATAGTTTTCTTATGTTATTTGCGAACTTAAAAACAAAATTTTTTCATTTTTTTTTTTATAAATAGAAAATTTTTTTTTGAAAAATTCCCAATAAAAAAGTAATAATAATAATAATGATAATTTTAAAATTACATCACGAGCAAATTTAAATTTTAATTAAAAACCAATATTGATAAGATTTAAAATTTTTTTTTTTTTTGTAATTAAAAAAATTTTAATTAAACTTTAAAACACATTTTTTTGTTTTTACTTTATGAAACTAATAATAATAATAATAATACGATAAAAAATAATAATTTAAAATAAAATAAGTTATACGCGACTTATTAAAAAATTATTTCATTTAAAAATCATTTCGTTATTTTAATTACAAAAAAATAAAAAAAATTTTTTTTAAGAAAATTTACCAGAAGAAAACTTTTTTTTTTCAGTTAGCTTAAAACTAATAAAAACAAATAAATAAAAAATGAAACCTTTTTTATAATAAAATCAAATATTTAAAAAAAAATCAACACAAAATTAATTAAATAATTTTTAAACCCTTTTAATTATTGTTTACTAAACGAAAAACTAATAATAATAATTATTATTATTATTAATATTTTAAATCAAAACAAAAATTTATATATATATATTTAACTGGAAACGAGTTAAATGAGAACTAACTAACTAACTGACTAAAAAAAAAAAAGTAACACGATAGTTGTTGTTTTTGTTTTTTTTTTTTTTTTTTAGTTGTTCCCCTATTTTAGGATTTCGAAAACTGCTGATACGCGCTTGCGTCTGTTTTAAAAAAAAAAACAACAACAACAACACACTAAATATTTATTTAAAAAAAAAAAGATTTTTTTTTAAACGAAATCTCACTGAAATTTTGCACTATATTATAATATGGCAAAATATACGTTTAGCGTATTTTAAATGTTAACTAAACGCGTTCAATGTTAAAACTGTTAAGATTTCAATTCGTACAATCCACAACAACTATGATTAATAATGTCGGTTATCAGTAACTCTATTCGACATACGAAAACAAAAATAAATATTTTTTATTTATTTATTTTATATAAATAATAATTATTATTATGAGTAAAATTAATTGATGACGACACGACTTTTAAAAAATGCGTGGGCCATCATTTAAAAATTTGTTTTTTTTTTTTAATATTGATAACCATATCAATAATTTCATTGTTATTAATTTTTAAAAATAAATAAATAAAAAATATTTTTACATTAATATAAAAAATAGTTTAATATAACAATAAAAATTATCAAGATTTATATTATTAATAATAATAATAATAATATTGAATTTTGCATGAAAAAAAAAACATATCCAAAGTCCATTACATTCTATAAACTATCAAATAATCTAAAAAAATTATTATTATTATTATTTTACTTACTCATTTTGAATTACCTCATTTGTTTTTTGATTAGTCAAAGATTTTTCTTACTCATTCACGTTGTGTTGCTTTTTATTTATTTACTTATTTATAAAAATGGTCCATATCAAGTTTTAAATCCTAAAAAATAGGAAAATTTTTCAAATTTTGGTTTTTTTCATTTAATAATGAATCATAAATTTTTTTTTAATTTTATTAATTCAAATGATTTTTAAATAATTAACATTATTGATTTTTTAATTAATTTGAATTGTGCTTTTAAAAAACTTACATGAGATTATATTTTAATTTTTTATGTATTGAACTTGACTCCATTTTGTTTACAATATAAATTTTTCATCAATTGAAAAAAATTGGAACATTTTTAATGTTTTATTTGCCTTGTAACAAATTTTTTTTTTTTTTTTTGATTTCTCTCAATTGTAAATAATATTAAAAAATGTCATCATCCAATTGTTATTATTAAAAAACATGTAAAATATGTTTTTTTTTTTTTTTTACAATTATTATTAAATTATTACCTAATAGATGTTTATCATCATTTAATTTTTACGTTAGAAAATTTTAAAATAGACCTGACTGATATACACTTCATTTATAGAATCATAATTTTATTTATATATAAAAACCTTTAATTCAACCTTATTAAACCTATTTTATTAAACCTTTAACTACTTTATTTCAACTACTTGACTTTATAAAATTAAATTTTATTTTTTTAAAACATTCAAAACCATTGCATTATATAATTAATGTAAATTTATTTCTTATTAATTAAAAAATTTGTACAAATGTGTTTTTAAATTAATGTACAAGTTATTTATTGTTTTTATATAAAAAGTTTTATGGTTTTTATAATAACATACTTACTCTTTTAATTAAGATGTCCTCCATGATCATAAAATTCTTGATATTATTTCATATTCTTACAATTATGGTGAGAAAATATATGTAGAATAAAAGTACTCCATAAAACATATACAATAACCTATTTAGAAAAAGAATAAATTATAAATTTTAATAAAAAATTTAAAAAGTAATGATTTTTATATGAAATTTTCAAAAATTATGTAAATGTATTTAGAGAGAGTAGCAATTTTAATAATTTGGATATAATAATAATATAAATAATGAATAGTTTTATTTGTTACAGTTTGTTTAACAATTAGGTGATACCTTACAAAAAAATTTAAAATAAACTACTATAAAGAAATCATTTCAAGTATAGCAATATGTCCATGTAAAATTATATTCCATTTTACAATTTATAAAAATGATAAAAAGTACTTATTTTGTTATATTTATAGTAAAACTATTCGATAAATCAATAAAAAAGTCATTTATGAATACATATATACCAATAATATCCTTTTAAAACATTTTAAATAACTTAAAAATGCAATTTTTACCTTTTTTCCATTCCATTCGATTTGAATTTGTTCGAGAAAGAAAGTTCTAGAACAAAATTACTTGCTTGCGACATCATCCGTTAAAAATTGAAAGTTGTCGCGCAATTAAAAAACCCGCGAAAATTTATAAATTCCACAAAGGACAATGCAACAATTACATTTTAACCGTTGTCTTTTTCAAATCCCCTGTTAATTTATTATTTATTAAATGTCGTACAAAAACGTTGTGAAATTGTATAACTTTTTTTGTGCTTTGTTTGTTTTTTATTTAATCGGTGAACATATCGTAAAAACTTATTGTTTAAATCATTTGATACAAATATAAGGTAAGATTATTTTAATAAAATTTAATTACGCTTTATTTAATTATACGGTTTTACCTTCATGACGATAAAATTTTATTGATAAAATAAAAAAAATCGAATTACAATGGAAATTTTTGTATCCTTTTATCGCGAAAATCTCTAAAGAAAAAAAAAAAAAAGGCTTACGTATATCTAAATCCTTATATCTAAGTTCTTCGTGTTGAATTTTTTTTTGTTTCTAATCGAAAAATCAAAGATGGCGTACGAATTTATTCAAATTTTTTTCTCTTCTGTCGGTTAAAATTTTTTACGGATTGTTAATTTACCGACGGATTTTATATAAAAATAAAATGACATTTTAAAAATACATTGCATAAATGAGGTGCATAAGAGGATTTGAATTTTTAAAAAAACATAAAATTCTACAAAATTTAAATTTCTGAAGAGAACATACATCCCCAGAAAAAAAAAGGAAAAAAAAAAAAACGAATTACTGTCGACAGTTAAAAAATCCATAATTATGCGCATAAACGCACATGGCATTCAAAATTAGTATCTGCGCATGTGCGAAACATAATAAAACCGGGAGATTTTATTTAAATGTAAAAAGGGTATAAGATGAAATTAATAAATTTTAATTTTCGTAAGCTAAACAAAAGAATTATATTTAATTGAAAATCATTTGAATTCTTTTGGTACGAAAGTGT